TGTTTAAGCTTTCTGCAGTAAACTGTGACCATTCCTAACAGTGACCTTTGAAGTCTCCAAAAAGATGACTGGGTGCCACAATGACGATTCCACCTGGCTTGTGGTAATGCCACTAGGCTGACAAACACTACCAAAATATTAATTTCAGACTGCAATCTGCTCAGGAAAACTTCACAGCTGCTAGCTGAGAGGGTCCAGCTTCACAGATTACCCTATCCAGGACCTCAGATAAGCCCTGCACTTTCCCATTACACAGAGACTGGACAGCAAATGCTACAGCTAGTTTTCCCAAGACTTGACCATTATCTCAATTTTCTCAGGGCCTCTAAAAATGCCGTTGTCTCTAAGCAATAGGAAGTAATTTTAAGACCACAATACCCACATTCCCAAGAGGTGGGGTGGGTGTTTGGGGTTGTTCGGTGGATTGTGGATGTTGTTATCATTTAGGAGGTGTTGGTTGCAACTTGTTACTGGTTATGGTCACAGAAAAAAATGAGCAAAGGAGATATCTGACTCCCAAGTTTTTATTGATAAAGAATTAGAAGAATGCTTCACTACTCCAGCCACATAGGTTCCTTGTGCTAGTGTGGCTTATCACAGAACCTTTGCACCTCGTTCCTACTTCCTAGCCTGCTAGCACCCAGGTACCCATGCTGTTCAGCATCACCTTCTCACCCAGACCCTTCCCAAGCATCTTACCTGAAGTTACAGCCCAGTTCTTAGCCTCCTGAGATCTCCCTGCTTTCTGTTGCTCTAACCAGGCCACATTATAATTCTTATTCCTGTCTGCAGCTGACTGTAAGATGGAGGGGCAGCCCTGGCTGTACAGGATCACTGGTAAGTCCCAAGGACTGGCATTTGCCAGGCCCATGCATGAGTGAATGGAGAACAGCCTGGGCAGGAATGTGAGGGGCAGTGAAGCCTCACTTCCTCCCCCAATACCCTTGCCATTCTCCCTCCCTCCTTCATTCAAGACAAGGTCTTATGTAGCCTAGTCTAGCCTAAAGCTTACAGCAGAGGGTAAACATGCGATTCTCTGCTTTACCTCTCACTGTTAAGGTTAAATGTTGTAGGATATTTGTTTACACTATGTGAAAAGGTGTCACTGTGATTGGTTTAATAAAAAGCTGAATGGCCAATAGCTAGGCAGTTGAGAATAGGTGGGACTTACTGGGGGAGAAAGGAACTCTGGGAAGAAGAGAGATGGAGAGACACCAGTGAGATGCATGTCAGACATACAGAATGGGAGAGAGGTAAAAGCTACGCGGCAGAAAGTAGATTAATAGAAACAAGTTAATTAAAGTTAAAGCTAAAAGGCCAAGCTTTCTTAATTAACAAATCTCAGTGTCATCATTGGGGAGCTGGTGGTCTCACAAAGGAAAGTCCCACACAATTACAGACGTGTGTCACCACATTTGGTTTGTACAGTGCCGAGCATCAGACCCAGACTTTGTTCATGATGGGTGAGCATCTACCCACTAAGCAACTTCTCTAACGCCCTTAGAGTTTGGTTTGTTTGTTTGTTTTGGTATTTGGTTTTTTGAAACAGGATTTCTCTGTGTAGCCCTGGCTATCCTGGAACTCACTATGTAGACCAAGCTAGCCTCAAACTCAGAGATCCGCCTGCCTCAGCCTCCCAAGTGCTGGGATTAAAGGCATGCACCACCACCTGGCATCCCTTTGTTTTTATTGAAGCAAGTGTTGCTATGTAGCCCAGGCTAGCCCTCAACTTGCCATCTTCCTGCCTCGGTCTCTCAAATGCTGGGATTACAGGTGCACACCACACCTGGCTTCTCCTGCCCCCTTCTATATGCCTCATTCACAGGTGCTTAAACCTGGAGGGGGAGGGGCTGGTTGAGGTGGAGTACAGTGGTAGAGACATTGCCAGGCATGCACTAAGCCCTGAGTTCCACCCTCAGAATTACAAAAACAAAAAATAATTACATAAGGGCTGGAGAAATAACTCAGCAGTTAAGAGCACTGTCTGTTCTTCCAGAGGACCAGGGTTCAATTCCCAGGGGGCACACCATCTGTAACTCCCTCTCAGGAGATCTAACACCCTCTCCTGGCCTCATAGGCATTGCACACACCTGGCACACAGATATGAATGCAGGCAAAACACCCATACACTTTAAAAAAAAGTTTGACGATAGCTTGGCTGAACACCTTTAATTCCAGAACTCAGGAGGTAAAGGTGGTGGATCTCTGTGAGCTCAAGGCCAGCCTGGTCTACAGAGTGACTTCCGGGACAGCCAGAACTGTTACACAGAGAAACCCTGTTTTGAATAAACCAAAAACAGAAAAGGAATAAAAGAAAGAATATTTATAAATGGTCCTGGGGCTGTATATTGCTCCAAATACTTATTTTTAAAAAGTAATAATATGGTCTGGAGAGAGGGTTTGGCAGTTAAGAGCAGTTGCTGACTGTACAGAACACTCACATGGTGGTCAATAACCATCTGTAACTCCAGTTCCAGAAGATCCATTGTGTCTTCCAACCCACCTGGGGCACATACTCGGTGTACATGCATACATGCAAGCAAACATTCATATACATAAATAAGAAGAAATTGAATGTTCAAAATAACAATGGCTGCAAACATAAGCCAATGGTCAGTCTCATACCCTAATAATTTGCTTAGTCCCCATAAGAAAGCATGAAGCAAGAGTTATCATTATTATCTGTCTGAGGCAGTCAAAACTCAGAGAAGTCAAGGCACTTGCCCACAGTCACACAGCTAGTTAGTTCAAAGGCAAGGCTAAAGCCCAGATAGGTTCTTGCCTTAGCAGGAAGCATAAAAATACTGCTTATATGTGAGGACCAGGCTTTGAAGTCAAAAGGACCCCAGGCAAAGTGACTGCTCATTTCCTGTTACCTCTGGGCCCCTGTCCGTCCCAGTGTGTGAACATTAGAAGCCACTTCCGCTCCCTGATGGGAAAGGTTCTGCTACCAAGGGCCACTTCACTAAAACCCAAAAGTGACATAAGCGGAAATGAGAGTAGAAAGGAGAAAGGTTGGGGGATGTCCTTCTGTATCTATTTCTCCTCTTGCTTAGGTATTGTGTTTATACAGCTCATTTAAAAATGTCATAAATACAGATTATAGATAGTCACCTATGATAGTGAAAACTTAAAATAATGTTAGTTAGGTTTTCTAGATATATAGAGATATATTTCAAATAGATAGATATTCTTCAAACCTTTCAAAGACCTACAGAATATGGCGTTTAAAATGGTTTATTAGGCTTGTTCACGACAAAGAGACACAACTGCTTCTGGCAACACCAATTATGTCAGAGAAGATGAGCATAAAAGAAACTCGTTATGGTCAAGACCGGCCTGGTCTACAAGAGCTAGTTCCACGACAGCCTCCAGAGCCACAGAAAAATCCTGTCTTGAAAAACCAAAAAAAGAAAGAACGAAAGCAGAGAGAGAGAGAGAGAGAGAGAGAGAGAGAAAGGAAGGAAGAAAGAAAGAAGGAAAGTAAGTCGTTATGGAATTTGCCTTCTACAGGGCAGAAATAGCTATTTGGTCAAGAAACTGCTCTTGCATGGAGTGTTTGTATGCTGTATAAACTGGATATGAATGATCCACAGGAAAGTGACTGCTGAACAGTCACAAAAACAAGATGGGACAGTCCTGCAGGATTCCTGCTTCATGGAAGAGTCTGCCAGACATTCTGCAGGACACAGAAAAAAATGACTGATAAACTGCCAATATAGGTGATCCAGTTTCAAATTTCCTGCTTCACTGAGAAGTCTGCCAGACACATTACGGCCTATGGGCTGAAGATGGATGCCCCAATGTTACAGAGGAACTTTGGGTGACTTTTCAGGAAGTGAGATGTCTCTGTCAATTCTAAAGTTTATATATTATCTTTCTGTGGTCTTTGATGGAGTTGAAGACAGTTATGGCTATGGTTTTCCTTAGTTATGATAAAGGATAAGTTACATATAAAACTTTAGACTCACAAAGATAGGATAGATAATAGAATATTTTCTATAAATTCTGCCAAATGTTAATGGACAAATATTGTTAACTATAGTTCTTGCTTGATAACTGTTTTTATAATTTTACTATGTTAAAGTTAAAACCTTTCCTTTTATATAGACAGAAAAGAGGAGATGATGGGAGATGTTCTTCTGAATATATGTTTCTCTTATTGGTTGATGAATAAAACACTGATTTGTGGGGCCAGACAGGACAAGAAACCCCATCTTCAGAGAAATAGCCTGTGTCAGTCCAAAACCAGGGAAGGCAGTTCTCGGCACCATGGCAGAGTCCTGGGGCCAGCCTGGAGGCATTGGGAGCCATGAGTAAGGAAGCCCAGCTGACTGAAGATGGGCCAGGGGTATTATTTTCTGGTGTGTGTGTGTGTGTGTGTGTGTGTGTGTGTGTGTGTGTGTGTGCTGAAGACTTGGATTTAGTGTGTAATTGAGGATGACCTTGATCTTCTGACCTTCTTCCTTCAGGATTCCTTCTTCTGAAAGCTGGGATTACAGGAGTGTGCTACCATGCCTGGTTTATATGGTATTGGGGATTGACCCCAGGGCCTTGTGCATACAAAGCAGCCATTCTACAAACTGAGCCCTGTGTGAGGTGGTGGTGTTATTTGTGTGTATGTGTGTGTGTGTTACAGGTCAAATCGTGGGGAGGTCTGTGGACAATTTGTGGAGAGTGAGCAGACAGAAGTGGAGAAGGGAGGATGCTCCCGCCACTCCCAACCCTGCCACCCTGCCCCCCATGAGATGCTCTGTTGCCCTGGGAGGAGGAAAGGGCCTGAGGAGGCTGTCCATGGAAATGCTAGGAAAAGTGGCTATCTGGTAAGTCCCACATGCAAAGCCTAGCTGCAGAAAAGGGAACAGAGAGCCAGCCTTGTGAGTCAGCACCCAGCAGCTATCTCTGCAAGTCATACGGTGATGGGTCATGACATCAGCAAGCCCTGCTGAAAAAGCAGTCCCCCACCCCCACCTTAGACAGTGTTTCTCTGTGAAGTCCTGCTGTCTTGACCTGCTGTCCTGATCAGACTGGCCTTGAACTCAGATCTGCCTGCCTCTGCCTCCTTGCTTCAATTAAGGGCCTGTGCCACCACTGCCTGGTGCAGCACCCTTCTTTTTAAACAGAAACTAGAGAATAAGAGCTGGGCACTGATGTCCAGAGTATCACCACTTCCTAAAATTTTTGCTTTAGTTACATGCAAAGCTGTATGTACTGCATTACAATGTAAAATCTGCTTTAGCTACATGCAAACCTGTGTGTACTGGTTTACAATGTAAAATCCATTCCTTATTGTGTGGCTTGTAACTTAAGGATACAAATTTAGTTTAGAAAATTTGGATGCAAAATATCTAAAAGAGAAAACACAAATAGCCCAAGGATGGTTCCCTGGGATGGGAAGAAGGTGTTAGGCCGATGGACTTCCCAGAATTATGTACAGTTTTGTTTTCAAGCGATGCACATGTGTTGCTTTTGCAGGAAGGAAGCCTGTGTTTAAGGATTTTAGGACAAATGAACAATCTTCCATCCTTGGTAAGGACTGTGTGCTGGGCTTTTGGCTGTGAAAAAAGTTGACTGCACCCCTTGCCAACGCTGCCCCCTGGGAGCTGCACAGCCTCCTGGCTTTTTTTCTACATCCTCTGCTTCTCTCTCCAGGAATCACTCAGAAAATTCTCCAAAAACACACCTGGTCCCTTGGAAGTTCCACCAGGGTCCCAGCCACTCTTCCTTACCATCTGGAGCAATGTGGTGGAATCATAGAGCAGCTCTCTCAGCCTGAGTCAGCGCAGCACCAGGACACCTGTTATCCACTCAGCATTGCCATGAACATCACCAGTCATACACTCACATGTGAGTTATTGGGCTTTGTTTTCTCTGCTTATTTTGCTTTTAGTTTGTTTGGGGTTTGTTGTTTTGTTTCTGAGACATATTTCATGTAGCCCAGGCTACCCTCAAACTGCATATGTAGCTGAGGATAAAGTCGACCTCCTAATCCTCCTACCTTCACCTCATGAGTGTTAGCATGGCATTCCACACCATGCCTGGTTTATGTGATACTAGGGATTCAAATGGGCTCTGTGCACACAAGACAAGTGCTCTCCCAACTGAGCTCCAGTCCCAGCACTACTTTTTTTTAAAGTTTGTTGTTTTGGTTTTGGGGTGTGTGTGTGTGTGTGTGTGTGTGTGTGTGTGTGTGTGTGTTGGTTAAGGGTCAATGTCTTCCCCATTGTATAGCCCAGGCTGGCCTTGAACTTGAAATCCTCCTGAGAGCCTCCTGCCTCAACTTCCCAACTGCTGAGTTCACAAGTGTGTGCCACTACACACACACACACACACACACACACACACACACACACATTTCTTTCCTCCCTCTCCGCTTTCTACATTTTTGTTTTGTTCATTCTGCAACTCAGGCTGGCCTGAAGAAATTCAGATTGTGGCCCAGGCTGCCCTGAAGTTCATATCATTCCTCTGCCTCAGCCTCCCAGCTTCCAGGACTGCAGTGTACCCCATACCTGACTTTTCTGTTTTTAGGACCCTTTCCTTAGGCAAATTCCCAGAAGTATAACTACTGAGAAGCGTTTGTTGTTTCCTAGCTGAAAAGTTTGGCCAGACTGCTGGGAAAGGGGCGGGGTATTTGCCTTTCCAAGGGACTGCCACGCCCAGCAGCTGTAAGATCTCTAACATGGGACCCGAGACATCTGTGCTCTGCTCTGCGTCAGTAACCAGAGTGGAGCAGGAAACAGAGGGACTTTCCCTCCCTCAGGAACTGGCCACTGGACATGAATGACTGCAGTGGGACCCTCAGCAAGAGCTGGCCAAAGTCCCCTACAGCAAGGAGGAACCCTTTCTCTCCCCACAGAGATCCTGATCTTGGCCCTCCACACCCGCTTGTGGGAAGAATCGATGTTTCTTCCTGTGCTGACTGATCCATGAACTTCTGAGGAATGCCTTTAACGTCACTGGCCGCCCATGTTCCCTTAATAACGTTGCCACAGCATGTGGTATGTGCCCTACAGCTGGGTGGGGCTGGTCTGGTGTCTTTCTGCTCTCTGAGATCTTAGGAACACCTTCCACCCCTCAACCCCCAACCCAGGCCAGGTTCCCGGGCAATTGCACTGCTTCCTGCTCGCAGACAGGGCCATGCCCCTTTCCTGGAAGGACAGCAAGAGAGAGAAGTCATAAACTTCCTGTGTCCCCAGCCCAAAGACTGTCTTGACTTCCTCCACGCCCTGGGTCCCTACAGTTCAGTGGTCCAGAAAGCGTATCCTGGGGGTTAAGAGAGTGAGAGAGACAGTTGAGGAAGGAAAAGGAGTCCCAACGGCAAGCAAGACAGAACAAAGAGGAACCAAGGAGGGTCAGGACCTGGCAGGAGAGGCTGGGAAAGAAGAAAGGCAAGCACAGGCATCGCTGAGCACCCCAGTGGATAGGCAGTGGAATGCCCACATCTGAGGGCTTTCAATGCACAGCCCTCTGTGGAAGATGCCCTTGTCCCACAGGAACCCTCCAGCAACCGCCCCTTCAGGAAAAAGCCCATGCAGCCATAGACTGTGACCTCACCAGCTTTCCAGAGCATTATTGGTCACACGGGTCCACCTAGTAGATAATCTTGTGCTTTGCTTGCTATGGAGTGTCACAGATACATACAGAGGGTAGTGCATCTGACTGGTACTCACTGCCTACTTCCCATACGTCTCATGGTTTATCCCATGCAGCTACTAATCCCAAGTTTAGGGCAGAAACTGAAGAAATTATACCATGCAACAGATCTCATACAAGTGATAACGGGGTGGGGGGCACCTCTGATGGGGATGAGAGAGAGATACATGATGGTGGTAGGACCTTTTAAAGGGTAGGCAAGTCACATTTGGTGGCTGGTGATGGAGTGGCTGCTGGTGCTGAGTGGCTGAAGGCAGGTTGCTAACATTCCTCCCTTTTGTTCATTATAAAAAGTGAGGAACTAGGAAGGGTTGGTGGTGAGGCAGGAATGGGGACACCATGCTCTTTAGATTGCTTCCTGTTGTCTGTGGGTATCGACATCTTTGGGGACTCAAGAAAGCTGGGGTGCTGGCCAAGTCCTGGAAGAGCAGGCTGTTTCACTAGCTGTCCAGGCTCTGTGGGACTATTGAGGGCCAGGGATATGCAGCAACAGTTGGAGCAGTTTGTGAAGCTAGACCATCTGGGGATAGTTACAGTGAAGCTGTCTGGGGTGCAGATTTTGAGGGAACACCTGGGGCTGGGGCTGGGGCAATCTGTAATTGATTTGGAATCTCCTGGGGCAGACAGACTAGGGACAGAAGGTAAAGTTAAGGCGTTTAGGGGAAATTTCTTTTCTTAGGTGTACATTTGAAACTTTTAGGCCCACAGTCTTGGTAGTTGGGGAAGAGGACTCCCAAGACCAGGGAAAGGGGGGGTTAATTCCCACCCTCAGGAATAAGTGGAACAGGTAGGTGAGAAAACAGGCTGTTTCCTCAGACCGTACTGAACTGGAGTCTATTTGACCCAGGAGAGGTGGATTCAAGCCAATATCTTGAAGCTAACAAGAAAATGTTTAGGTTTACAAAAAGAGCTAAATTTTACATATGTTAGCATTCCCACTGTCTGTAATGTGTACTGAAATCCACACTGTAGAAAAGACAGTAGATTCACACCTTCAAGTCAGAGTAGAAGGCTGGGGATCCAAATGATTGGGTTAAAAGTGTGAACATTTTTTCCTCTGTCCAGAAGACTAGGTGGACTGAGATAGGACAGAGGAGCACTTTCAAGACTATGCTTCAAAGACAACCAAAGGGAATTTAAAATTTTGAGCTTGTGGCTATGGTAATAGTAGTCAGTGCTTTCCAGACCTAGATCAATAGCTCATAAATCACTTTCCCATGCCTTTAGAAATTGCATTTATACACCTTAAACTTTGCAATTTTCCTATCCAATCATTTACTGTGGGTAACTGGTTACTGAGACATGGGTGACTGGTTACTGAAAGTAGTCATTATAAAGCAAGTTCCTTTAAATAATGGAACAGTGAAAAGTTATATTGAAATCTGTTTTGTGTGTATATCTCTTTTTTGGAGTCTGGTATTGAGGTAAACTGTGTCTAGACCTAGTAATAGCTCTAGGAAAGTGAGGCCTGTGGGCTGAAGAGAACTGAGAAGGCAGCTGAGGCCTTGGTTGCTGCTGTTAAACTGCATTTATACACCTATCACTGGCCTAGTCTCAACACCATCAGAGATCTGAGAAGGATGAATTTCACCTGAGTAAGCAGGAAGTACAGACCAAGCAGCTTCTGAATCTATTAAAAATTCTATTTAAATTTTTAGTTTAAATTTTAAATTCTGAATCTATAAAAAAAATCTATTAAAAACAGAGACTTACTGGCTACCTAAACAATCACCCTAGGTTCCTCTGTGGTCATTGGGGGCCGAGATCCCAGGACAGCATCAGTCTTTGACCATCAGGCCCAGAAGCTCCAAGAGACTTTCCTATGAAGGAGGAACTTGGGGGACCAGCCTACCTTGTCCAGGCAAAGTGGGAAAATCCACTCCCCAGTGTCCTGCTAGTCCACAGTTTGAACAGGGTCCTGGCAGCAGGCGAGGTGAAGGGCAGTTTTTCACCTAGTGACCAGCTTTGCCACATTTAAAGCAGGCTCCAGGTGGAGTTTTTCTGTGCCCCATTGTTTCTTTGGAGGAGATCTTAGGGGTGCTTCTAGGTTTCCTCTCTATCATGGGAAGCGTTTTTGTTTTTTGTTTGTTTTGGGGGGGGAAGATTTTATATTAAACATTTAAACGCCATTCTCAGCAGATCTCTGAAGAGTTTGAGAACCTTCTGTCTATTGAGTATATCAGCTTTTGTTAATCTGAGTAGGCCTTTATAACCTTAAAATTGTATTATCACATGCAGTATATTCTAAATCAGAGCTGAATCACATATATATGTTGTAGAAAACATAACCTTAAATTTTTCTTGAACTTCTTCCAATGTTGTAGAAGCCATGAAGAGTCCAGAGAAGCTGCAGAACTTAGCAGGCAGCTTCTGGGGGAGGCTAGGAAATTTGCAAAGTAAGGGTCCAGAAAGGTACATAGAGAGATAGAGCAGGTAGCTCTGAGTGGGAGGAAGCAAAGGAAGGAGTCCTAGGCTGCCACAGGCAGAGCTGCAGCTCCTGGGGGAGTGTAGAGAGGGTAGAAAGCAGGAGAGAAGGGAGATGTATTGCAAGGAAGCAGCAGGCCAGAGGTGTGGCAGGCTGCAGGAGCCAGAGAACCGCATGGGTGCCCACGTGGAGGGCACAGCAGGCCAGAAGGAAGCAGCAACTGAAGAATTGGACTCTGGAATTTGGAATCAAATTCGCAAGCAAATGATTTGTACACACCTTAGTTGAGTTTGAGCAGCACCCTGGTTTGGAGTGGCCACTGCAGAGAACAGGTGTGTGTTGGGTGTGTGCACACTGCAGCTGGCCTGCTCCTTTGTCTTTTCCCTTCTTGCTAGCTCTGGGCTCCCACTTTACAACAAACTTACAGATCAATAATAACATAAGTCAATAAATTTGGAGCCCTTTGGGTCAGGTGCCAGGAGAGGCTGGAGGTTTTCCTATGAATGGCATGGTTCCCATAGGTGAGGAAGAGGGGAAAGTCCAAGGCCCGACGTCCAAGGCAACCCCAGGACTCAAAGAAACTGAAAGAGGAAGACACATACCGTTCAGTGGACAGGGGTCAGGGCTAAAAGTCCAAGGAGACATGGCGCCTAGTACCAGGAATGAAACCAAAAGGCAAAAACCGACTTCAAAAACAAAGCCTCACCCAAAAGAAAGGGTCAGAGGTGGGTACCTCTGCCTCTAAGAATACCAGAGACTCAGGGAACATTTATGCCACTGAGAGGAATCACCCACCAATTCCTAGTGATGGATGGAGGGCCAAGGGATCAGTGGGCCAGAAGATGGATCTGTTGTGGGTGAACTAGAGATAAGGGATAGAGTCCTACTGTGGCTTAGACCCCCAATGGGGAACGCAGGCACCAGAATGTCCTACCTGCATCACACAGCATCATTGTTAGGGGTTAGCAGCAGAAGAGTACTTTGGAGGATCAGGACCAAGGAATGCCCCCAAAATCACACCACGAAACAGATCTCACAAGAGATTTATTGGGGGAGGGCGAGGATGAAAGAAAGAGAGGGGGGGAGGAAGAGGGAGGGAAAGAACAGGTAGTGATGGCAGGGAACTTTTAAAAGGTAGGAGTGTCACATTTGGTGGCTGGTGATAGTCGCTGAAGGTGTGCTGGGGCGGGGGTGAGGGAGGGTGGGGAGGTGGAAGGCACCTGGTTCCTAAAACCAAGAACTTCGGATCTTGGTTTTATTTTGTTTATTTTTATTTGTTTTGTTTTTGAGACATGGTCTCACTATTTAGCCCTGACTAGCCTGGAATTTTCTATGCAGACCGGGCAGGCTTCCAATTCACAGAGGCACCTGCCTCTGTCTGCAAGTGCTGGAATTACAGGGATGCACCACCACAACCTGCCCTGTTTTTAGATTTCTCTTGATTGCTGTTATTATTGTTGTTATTATTATTATTATTAATTAGTCTATGTTTGAGAGAGGGAGGAGAGCACACACTAGCGCTACACTGTCGAGCGGTTACAGGACAGCTTTCAGGAGTCAGTTTTCCCTGCTACTGTGGGATCCAAGGATTGGACTTGGGATGTCAGCGGCACCCTCTTAGACAAGGTCTTGATCCCCTAGCCTCTACCTCCCTAGTGCTGGGATGACAGCTATGTGGCACTTGGGACTGACCCCAGAACTTTGTGCATGCTAGGCAAGCACTCTACCGACTTAGGCACGCAAACTCTTAATCTTCATACACATAGTGGGTGGGCGCTATTACCAGCTCCATTCTATGGATGAAGAAACTGAGCTCAGAGAGGTTTCTGGAAGAGTTCCAAACACACAGCTACTAGGGAGTAAGCCCAGGTCTTGGTCTTGGCATCTGGCTCCAAGGCCTCTCTGCTCAGTCACTCTTCTGAGCTGCCCATAGTGTGACCTGCTTTCTGTAATCAACTGGGACAGTGACACCCACTATAGGGCAGGTGATCCATGGAGAGCCCCCTTAGCCTACTTGTCCCCTGCGTAGCTGCTGTTGAGAACAGTGATGTCGACTCCAGCCTATTACTCTGACCCACAGAAGAACTCAGGCCTGAGTCCTTTTGGCCCTGGAGAGCTCTGCTGTTTCTAACATTAAGCTGATGAAAACAAAATCTCAAAATTGATTATGCTGCTCTTTTTGCTCTGGCTTCTAGGAAACTCAAAGTTCACTGCAAATCCCACCTTTACACATCCAAGTGTCTTCTAACCTGGGTATCATCTATGTTTGCTTTAATTTCCTTGCCTTGTGTTAATTTTAACCATAATTTCCTCATTTCCCATTGGTTTTGTTAGTATCTTTGTAAATTACCTCAAATCCGTGCCAGGAAGTGGCAAGAATATAGATGCACAAGCCATGGATAAGTTACAAGCTCCCCAGCTGGGCACAGTTCACAGCTGGGGCTGTCAGGTGGCCTGTGTGCTGTGGAATGTTTGTCCCCTGGCCTCTACCTAATAATTGCCATGAATGTACACACTACATATACTACAATGGTGACCCAAGATTTTTCTGGGTGATGCCAAGGAACCTCTGGAAGCGAAGGTCTGGGCTTCTTGAAGATATACTAAAGGACTTACAGCAACATTGATGGGGCCTAGCATGGGTGGACCCTGAGCAGGGGACCTTCCGCTGAAGTCATAGCCAGAGTCACTATACAGCCCCTCCAGGTTTCTCAGTCACCTGGAGGTTTCTCCAGGTTTCTCAGAGTTTTTGCCACCCTGTCTCTCACTGGAGAGAGACAGGGACAGAACAGGGTCCTTGCTTCTTAAATGTTTTTCAGTAGAGTTCACAGAGGCCAACCCTGTGGATAACATCACTCTGCAAGTAGAGACCATAAAGGAAAAAAAAGTTGATTTGGGACAGTAATCCCTAAATCAGATTTGTCTCTCTGTGTGAGATAACATCTCATGTCCAATCTGGCCTTGAACTGGTTTACCTGCCTCACCCAGCCTTCCAAGGTAGGAAGGTAGGCATGTGATCACATCCAGCAACACCCAGATTCACCTAGAGCATCCTGGTTAAGAGGGCCAAAGTGTGAACAGGAATCTGAGCAGCCAGATGGAGTGGAGAGTCCAGAGATAGTAAAGACACCTTCTACCACCCACAAGAGAACCTGTGCTCAGAGCTCACAAGTTCATTTCTCGCAGCAGCCTGACCATCAAAAGCCCAGGCTCCCATCACCGCAGTGACACACAAAGTGAAGCACTGATGTGTGTCATGTGGTATCTGAAACCCTAAAACACCACACACACCTTGGAAGGAAGAACAGATCCAGAAGGCTCAGGGCAATGTGCCCATGGGGACCACAGGGAGCAGAGGGAGCCAGATAAGAGAATCGAGGGTCTTTAATGAGATGGAATGTTTTGGAATGGACCATGGGGCTAGCTGTACAGTCCTCAGGATATGAGAAGCTATTGGCTGACTATTTATCTTTGCAAAAGCAGCAAGGCAATTTTTATTTGGAGTGAAGCAATAGTACAGATTAAAGAAAGATTGACGGCACACCGTGTGAGCAATGACGCTCAAGGGCTGGCTGTCTTTTCAAGTGGGTGGATTGAATCTCAGTAAAGCTACAGATTTTTTTTAAAATAAGATCATTCCAAGGCACTGGCTGAGTGCTCGTAGGTGAGCTACTTTAGTGGAGCCTTGACTTCCCTGTCTGTAAATGGGCATGAAGTGGTCCCGCTGACTGGAGTGGAAGATGAGGGAAGAAGGGGATGTGTCCAGCCTCTGGGTATGTCTCCTTTCCACACCCTTCTTTGCCAGAATTCTGCCAAGGCTGGTTCCAGGAGCAGAGCGAGCCCTCCAATCAGCAGACCCCACTAGAAAGGATACTG